GGGAAATAGTTTGGATCTTTTTTTCTCTTCATGTTGTGTATTTTCATGTAATCTTATTGGTCTCATAATCGTACTGATAATCAGCAGAGGAATCCGTTACTTCAATAACCACCCCAGCTCTAAAATGACTTTTATGTAGAGATACATTGCCCACAATGCAACAGTGCAAAACAAGTTCTTATAACCCTCCTATTTTTGCTGGATCACTGCTCAGTACAGAGATCTACAGCCTTGTAATCCACCTATTTCACTGCCTTAACGTACATATAACAGGAGTGCCAATTCTGACCTACACAAGCGTGCTATATATAGGCCCTGGGTAGTAAAAAAAAACATCTGTAAATTCAAGCGAGTTTTTTCCACAGGCAATACGGTGTAACCCGTGTCCCATATCCTTGCCCTGGGATGGGCCCCTGGGTTGGCAGTTTGATGCGGGGAATTTGCAACGCGTGGGCGACCAAAATGATACGGCATCAAAGCGTGACAGGCTGTACCACGGCAGAGAGCAATCTGGGCTTTGCGGTATAGATACTCCCCTGTGCAACAAAATGGCCTCCAAACGGGGAGCACGGTTCCCAGGTTTCCATTTTCCTGAGATGTTCACCTGATATTACCTCCACCCACACCACTGTTTGGCTATTCAGTCAACCAGACGTCCTTGAACTGTGGCATTCAGTGCATGCAACATGCGTGTCCCCGTTAGGGTCTCTTGAGTAGAGCTGGGATATTTTATTATTTAAGTGCAGTGTAATCGATTGCCCTACGGATTGTCGGTTTGATTACACGTGTGCCGCTGGACGGGAGGTGATGGGTGGTGGCTTCGTGATTTTATCGGCATCATCTCCCACGTAAGACTGGGCGTAACTTGTAGGGGGTTTCTGCCTTTGGGAGATGGTTGGATATTGGGGGGGGCTATCATTTTTAAAGGAACTCAAGTACCCCAATCAACTACATCAAAAGTGGCCAATTAACAAGTTTTAGTCGAATAATCGCCTTAATCTACTAATCGACCCAGCTCTGGTCTTGAGTTATCTTATGTGTGGGTTTTCCGTAGCTTCTGCGGTTTCCTACCACATGAAAAAAATACTCATTGGAAATTAATTTGCCAATTATCCCAACTCAGGGCCCTCTTGAAAAAAGTGTCTTCACACTCACTGCAAATATGTTTTTCCAGCATAAATAATGTGAATTAAATGGACACCATATTTAGATATTTTCAAAGCATATCGCAATAATTTCAAGTGATATTTCTACAGCTGTAGCTGCAGTAATGACTCAGTCCTATAACTCGTGTGTGTCCTAGATGATTTATCGACACAACATCAGGACTAATTCTTTCCATAAGTGAACCCAAGTTTGTCCTAAGCTGGCTATTGGCACAGGTGGTGCATCGGCCAGTAATCTCAGTCAGTCGACCCATGGCGCCTGGGTCTGTCCCTTGACCTCCTGCCAGCGGGCGTTCGACACTTCACGTGGCCTTAACGTGCACATAGCCTGGCACAAGCGCCGTCGTGACGCCACCGTCACTTAGTGGCGAATGGCGGTTGTTGTTGTTGGGCATTGTAAGTTGTACATTTGTACTTTTTTTTATTGGCTGAATTAACCAAGTTAACAGGCTCATAAAATTAACCCCCACCACCAATCATCGTTCGGAAATTCGATTAAAAAGTTAGGGTCTGAGAATAGGTTTTCCCCTTTTTTCTGGCAACAAAACAGGTGTTAAGATGTTAAAACACCAAACTGAAACCTTTTACAAGGAATCATGTCTGCATTAACCACAATGCTTGTGGTCAGAATGCAAAAAACACACTTTGATAAAATATTAATTGTCTTTGAAACTGATTGGTCCACACCAGAGACAGCGTTCTTTGGAGCCTAGTCTCAAAAGGTGTTAGACCAGAGGACGCCAAAAGGCGTACCTAACACCTTTTGAGACTAGGCTCCAAAGAAAGCTGTCTCTGGTGTGGACCAATCAGTTTCAAAGAAAATGCATATTTAATTATCAAGGTATATTTTTTGCATTCTGAGCACAAGTATTGTGGTTAATGCAGACATGATTTCTTATAAAAGGTTTCAGTTTGGTGTTTTAACATCTTAACACCTGTTTTGTTGCCAGAAAAAAGGTGAAAACCTATTCTCATATTTTGGTACTGGCAAAGGAGGTCCCATGATGTTAGGCTCTGCTCAAATCTTATTCAAGGGATTTAGCATCCACCAAGTAATCTTTTGGATTTGCCAAAAGTTGCGACGTGCTGTTCAAAAGGCTTAGATTTAGTTTGCTTCTGGTCACATCCGTTGCGTGACCATGCACTTGATTTTTAGTGACCCCACATCTTCATGAAATTATTAATTTGTTAGCCATTCACATTACTGTATAAACATAAAAGATAGTAAAAATAAAACATAATAAAATACAATTCTCACGACGTTTCGGCCACAACGCAAGCAGCCATCCTCAGGTGAAGAACAGGTCTGTCGGAAAGACAGCGTCTGAATGAGCACCACCAGGTTTGGCAGCGTATATTTAAGCTGGGTTAGAGGAGGAAGGGCGCCTTGACAAAGGAATTTGCATATCAACAGAGGAATTTAGCATATTTATGGAAAATTCAGATATGGGATTAGTCACTACTTGTGGATTATTATTTTTTATTTCCCTTCTACGTGACTTTACCAGAAGAACCAAGAAGATGAATCCCTGCAGTCACGAAAGCTTTACATCGAAAAATAGAAGATAGTATTGGGGAAAAAACAAACATGTGATGCATTCAGTGAGTTTTAACTTGCACTGATCTTGAAACAAGATTCAGATTCGACCTCAAAACTGCTCTATGTGCATGTATTCACACGAACCGACTCGCACCGTGATTTAAAACCGAAGTCTAATTTAATAACGTAATTATACTAAATATGACGAATCTACACACAGAGAATTATCCTGCAATTTTAAAACGCATCGGCAATATTTGTGGAACGTAATCTATATTTGCCCAACGTTCATGGAAGGCTGTTCATCAATTACATCACATCTGGTATGGATACTACTGTCAATGATTGTTCCCATTTCAGAGCCTGAGGAAGTTCAGGGCACATTTGATCATCTTGTACAGTACAGAGTTGGGTGCCATAAAATCTATAGTACAGTTTAGCATTTTAGACCAGGTCACCCTCCAGGGGAGGGTATCACCAAGTAAAAACAAAACTGGATTTAGAGAAGTTTTTAAAAAAACTTTTTTATTTTCTATTTAAACAAATTCTTCACAATGGGGGTGTATGGACTTTTTCAAGATTTGGGAAATTCGAACGACATTTTTTTGTTCAGGCCACATTTATTTAAATTTGGATTTTATGAAACAACAACATAGGGCCCCTTAACAACGCTTTAGGCGACAGAGAAACCGGCCAGTGACAATAATAATAATACAATTTATAACGCGGTCAAATTTGCGGACGTAACGGCCGCAACTCGGAGGCAGGGAGCCAAGCTCAGAGTCGCTCGAAAGCATGATTGTAGAGGTGAGTCTTTAAGTGCCTCTTGAAGGAGGCGATTGAGGTGATGCTGCGAATGTGCAGAGGGGTGACGGCGTTCCAGACTGTTGGGGCTGCCACCGAGAAGCGGCGCATAGACCTGACCATCCTGGATCTCGGTATCAAGAGGAGGTCGTGAGTCGCGCTGCGCAGGCATCAGCCGTGCGCTGAGCTGCAAGTTGTCAGTAATGAAGACAGGTACGGCGGGCGGGCAGATGTGAAGGCCTCGGACCCGAAGCGACCGGTCTATATAAGACGGGTGTAGGGGGGGGGAGTCCCAGGCCTGCAGGAGAAACGAGTCGGCGGTGTGCAAGGGGAGGACGGGGGGGGCGGCACATTTCTTGTGTTAGAGTTCAATTCTACGAATTTTCGGTTTGTGGTAAATTACCACAGAACGCACACGGTGGAAAGCGGTGAGCTTTTGACAGAGTTTAGGCACAATACATAGCACACATCTCTTTGGGAAAAGAAAAAAAACTTTGTTCAAAGCAAACGTTAAAAAATATATATATGAAGAATAATATTTACACGCCAAGGGCTGTTCGCGGGCATTTGCAACTTTAAAAAGTCGATTTGTTTGGCTGATTTGTGTAATTGCGATAATTATCGAGCGGATAATTGTTGAGCACTTAAGGTGTTGGAAGAGTGTGCGGTCGGCAACACAGCGAGGCGTGCTGCTAATTTTAAGCGCACATCTAAAACACACAACACAGCCCTTCGCTTCTAGGGAGGGCACACATTCTCAGCCTGAAATTCTCCACCACATTACAGCTGTTTATGCAGACGGTGGAAAGGCAGGGGGGAGGGAGGGTGAGGGGGGAGGGTGAGAGGGGAGGGTGAGTGGGGAGGGTGGGGGGGAGGGTGAGTGGGGAGGGTGAGTGGGGAGGGTGAGAGGGGAGGGTGAGTGGGGAGGGTGGGGGGGAGGGTGAGTGGGGAGGGTGAGTGGGGAGGGTGAGTGGGGAGGGTGAGTGGGGAGGGTGAGAGGGGACGGTGGGGGGGAGGGTGAGTGGGGAAGGTGAGTGGGGAGGGTGAGAGGGGACGGTGGGGGGGAGGGTGAGTGGGGAGGGTGAGAGGGGAGGGTGAGTGGGGAGGGTGAGGGGGGAGGGTGAGTGGGGAGGGTGAGTGGGGAGGGTGAGTGGGGAGGGTGAGTGGGGAGGGTGAGTGGGGAGGGTGAGTGGGGAGGGTGAGTGGGGAGGGTGAGTGGGGAGGGTGAGTGGGGAGGGTGAGTGGGGAGGGTGAGTGGGGAGGGCGAGTGGGGAGGGCGAGTGGGGAGGGCGAGTGGGGAGGGCGAGAGGGGAGGGCGAGAGGGGAGGGCGAGAGGGGAGGGCGAGTGGGGAGGGCGAGTGGGGAGGGCGAGTGGGGAGGGTGAGTGGAGAGGGTGAGTGGGGAGGGGGGAGAGAAGCTCGGCAGCTGAGCAGTGGAAAACATTGTGGGAGGAGAAGTGAGCACGACGAGACGGGAGAGGGCACGTGAGGAGGAGGAGGAGAGAGAGGCAGTCAAACAAATTCTTACCCCGGGCAAAGTGGCCGTTTCAATAGCAGTGGCCGTTTCAATAGCCTGTTTATGAGGCTTCTATGTCCGAGTTGCTGCACACAAGACGGCCTGTCTGCCGCAACGTACTCAGGAAGCTGTTGAATTTAACTTTTATTTCAAGCTCGTTTCCCCCCCACCCCTTTCTCCCTACGAATGTTACTTTCCGCTCAAAGCGGCCGAAGCTAGTGGCTGTGGCATAGTTCAACGCCTGCTTGCAATTCAGGTTTGTTCCGAAATGTTTGGAATCTCAAATAAATATTAAACTTCCTTTCGTGCTTGCACACCGCTGCCAACACAGTTTCTGATTTTTTGTTTTTGTATACGATTTTGAATGAATTCAGTTGTTGCTGTGTGTGGTTTTTTTACATTTGTGTCTTTTTTTACCCAGGGCCTCAACTTCGGCAAGAGCGATGAGTTTCAACAAAGCTCACCGCTACGGCCGGCAAGTCAATGGGACTCACTCGGATAATGGCATCACTGTAAGCGCTCCGCGGAAATTCTTTACTTCACTTGCTTGCACGTCTTCCTTTTATGACGGCATAGATGAGCGTAATTGGCGTATATATATTTCGGATCACATGGGTGACTCCCTCAAAGAAAAACCAGTTCTTATGAATTGTTGGCGGGTGTTGCGATGGTAGGATTTAATCGGTTAATTAGAATGGTGAAATCCCAGTTGCGAGTTAAACTATTTTTATTTTATTTTTACCAGGTGAGACCCACTGAGCTATACAGCTCTTTGTCAGAAGCGACCTGGTCACAAATGATAGCTCAACGAAGTGGCTTATCATCACGTGAAAATGTTGGTCCTGTCCATCATTAACCTGGGAGGGCATTAGCATAAGGCTGTACCAGATTGTGAAAAGTCAACTGCAGCTGTCCTTAGGGGAGACTAGCTCCTCTGCCATCGTGATTTGGATTTTCCAGCACTGAATATGGACCATTTAATGGATATTAGCGTTGCCCCAAAACTCATTTAACATAAGTCGTGATAAAAAAACTGACCATTTTAATCCCATGCCTATAATTTTTGAGATGTAATAGCCAATCGCATTCTATTTAAAGTGGCTTGATTCTACCTAAAAAAAAAGTATTTGCTTACTAGGAGTGTAACAATGTATCCATTCATCATTTAGTAATTATTAAGGTTCATGAGTTACTCATCACGGCAAGTTTTTTTTTTACCATCCACAAATGATATGCTAACGTTACATTTAAGCGAAGGGAGCGGACACCACGATACAAATAAAACTGTACAAAGGAGACCAAAAAATTATAAACGTTTCAATGACATTCCTCGTCTGAATCACCACAATTCTAGTCGCCAGAGGGTGAATATTTCCACCGCTCGAGTTTGCCTACCCGTGTCTAGCGCAGCGCGCGCGAGTGCATCCACGTAGGCAGCTGTGTGTGACACACTTTGTTTGTTTCCACAGTCGCCCATGGATTCCTACAGCTCTGGCTTCAGCGGCTCCGTAAATGCCAGCAAATGTAAGTCCTCGTTTCACCAGATTCGTCCAGTTTATTGTTTCATCCGCAGTTGCTTCCAGGAAATCATCTACGTTGCACGATGACACGTAGGTGTAGTGTGGGCTCCCCAGCATGTACCGCAGATTGTCACACGGCCGTATGAACCCTTTCCCGTTCCAAGACATCTGCAAGTTGCAGAGCGTGGGGTCCCGTTCACCGCCGAATCTCGGAACGTGCAAGCAGTTCACGCAAATTTTATTTAGAGGCATAATGACGCTGTTGTTAAAAGACATTGTACTCACCGCAGAGAACTGTACCGACACGACCGCACTCTATGACAGCTGGTGTCAAACTGTGCCGCACGCCCACCTCTCGCATGGACTTTTACTCCCGAATCGATTCGATTCCGTTTCGAATCAATTCCGTAGCGATGAAGTAAACATACGTCATCGGAACGGAATCGGAAGAAAAACTGATAACCTACATATGTACGTCATCGGAACAGAAAAAGGGTTAAGAGCTAGTGCATTGTTGTTATTTCCCCCCCTCGCACAACCCAAAACACCAGCATTACAGAGGGAGATACAAGTCGCGAACATGTCTCGAACCCAGAATAATACACCCCCAAATGGGGGGTGGGGGGGGCCGTCTGGAGGCGCTTAGACTTACTGCCCTGCCGCTGTAGGGGGCAATGATTGGGAGCGTGAAGCTACTGGGCATTCTTTACAGCAGTGACATAAACGGCATCGGAACATATTACCAAGTCGATGTGCACATCTTCATAAGCGGGACAATTACAGAAGTCGCAGTGGGATTTGTGGCCATGTAACCCAAACTGTGGACCACATAGGAAATCGCCGTAGTCTGTGCTGCTCCACTGGAGGAATCGCATTCGGCAGTTAGCAGGACAAAGTGTACACAGAAAAGTTTTAACTGGTGCTGAAAGCTCTAATCTCTGCACCCTTTGAGTGGCGAGGGGACACTTTGTAGTCGTTATCTGGGTCATGGGAATGTGTCCCAGCGAAATTATTAAATGCTGTCAGCAGCCTGGACGGGATCCTTCCACGGATGCACCCATTGATGCACCCACTGTGCCGCAGAGGTCGCAAACGGGTTTTGATTCCTTACCCGTACCCGTACTCGGCCGCACCAGGGTCGCAAATGGGTACCCGTACCCAGCCGGGTACGGGTAACCGTTCCCTACCCGTACCCGTACCCTACCCGAAATGAGTGACAAACGGTTACTCACCAGTGACTCACGGCCTACCCGTACCCGTACCCGGCCGCACCAGGGTCGCAAACGGGTACCCGTACCCGGCCGGGTACGGGTAGCCGGGTATCGGGTAGGGTACGGGTATCGGGTACCCGGTTGCGACCTCTGCTGTGCTGGCTGGGACAGATGGATTTAGCCTCCTCGTGTTATCCCAACAAAGCAAATATTGGCCCAAAGCAAATGATGACTCCAAGCAGGTTTGGTCTCAACTGTTCCTGTGATGGCCTAGAAATGCTTCCTTACCGTTCGAGGCAAACGTGCCAGATTATTTGATTACATAATTATTCGTAATTTTGCTCCCCCAATTTTGTTTCTACCCCGATTACGCTGTGAACGTCACAGCGGGAGACGATGATGCATCCATTCATATCGCTTGCGGAGGAGTTGCGAGCCTTCCGCGGTTATAGGCAGTTTCAAAGCAAATAGTAAAATGTAAAATGTGAACCGCAACACGTCTCTACTGTAAAACGATTTATTTATTTCCTATGGAATGTGCACAGTTGCCCATTTGCATCTTCACAAAATGGACAATGGCTTGGGTGGTTTGCCCTGCTGTGGGTGATAAACACAATGGCATGTTTTCGCCAAAAATCAGAAGAACGAAACACCAAATGTTGATTTTAGGTGTGTAGGTGGAAGTACAACAAATAGATTTACTGGCCAAAATTGTAAGGACTTTCGGTGTCCATTCTTTGCGTTTGTGGGTTTTCCTTAAAAGTGGAGACTTAGCAAATAAGCAATAAGTCTTGGAAATCGCTGAGGTTTTCCTGGTTACATTCAAGGGGTATTATTATTACATAAGTGTGTGCGAAAAACCACGGTGAAAAAGCACTTAACTTGGTGTAGATAGGAGCCCCATTGAAGAGAGTCCAGGAATAGATGTGTGATGTCGTCTTCCGGAACTGTGCCCCCTGGCATGATGCGACGGTCAGACTGAGGGAATTCCAGATGGAAATGTCTTCGGCTCATGTCAAGACGCTGACTTCATCATTGAAGTACAGGGTGACCCATTGATAGATAACGCCACTAAAACAACGGGGAGAAATGACGGGTTTTTGTGTTTACTATTTATTCATTCAAAGCCTCTGTGTCTCCCACGAATCGAAGGAGGATTGATAAACACTATTAGATGGTGCTGTGTTGGCAGTGGTGCGCAAGCACACATCTACAAAAAATCTCAATACGTCCGTCAATAACAATGCATGTAAAGAAGCACATTTTTATAATAGGCAACGTTTAAGGCAATAAAAAAAAATTCACTCTTATCCATTACAACTTGTTGCTGGCCACTTGTTGTTTTGGGCATTTGGGCCCCGTGCTCGGCAACTGTGATTTCAAAATGTGTGTCTGCTGGCTCCATTCCATCGGTCTCGCCTTTCATATCGGAAAGATCAGGCGTTGGACGAGTGGCGTCCGTGTGTAGAGAACTGGCCTGCCACTCTCACGTCCCCCCCCCGCCCTCCGATGTCAAACGGCACACTTGGGTGAGATGGCGAGTCTGGGATGGAGGATGTCTGTAGGTGGACGGGTGGTTGATTGATAGACATTGTGAGATTTTAAAAGGGGGAAGGAGTCATTTGCGGAATGTTAGAGGCAATGTGCTTTCGTGACCAAATGATATATAAAGAAAGAATTGCAGGAATGAGGTTTTGAGGTTTTTGTTTTTCCACGTAAAACGGCCATTGCCCGCATACCTTTACAATCAATTCTGTTTCACGAGACCACGGGTTTGAGACTTAGCAGAAGGGGTGGACCTGGTGAACCGAGTTCACCCCTTCTCGTGATTGTTGTGAATTGAGGTAATCATCTCATTTCAACATTCAGGCCCCAAGGGCAGTCTCCAACTGTGACCAACTTTCTCTCTCTCTCGCGCCTCTACGTGCTACGAAGAAGGGCCATTGGGCAAAAAATGTTTGCCTCTGATATATTTATTTTTCCTTTTAAGGCCACTGTGTTATTGGCGAACGTGTAGAGTTTTTTTGATTTAACATTCTATTCTCTTGGTGAATTGCAGCACCTCTAGTGCCGTGAATCCATTGCATACAACATAACCCAGTAAGGTTTCGGAGTACGCGGGCTCCGAGTACGTGGACCCGCTCATACGCGACCGACCCCGATTCCTACTTACATTGTGACTCGTATTTTTGCTACACGCACAGGGCGAGAAGCGAGGAGTCAAATCATTCTCCCTGCCATCACGCAGACGTGGATTTGACGGCGTGTGACTGTATCGCCTGCGCGAGAAACAAGTCCACCCAGCACGCACTTATCATCATTTACCAATTATTAGTCAATCATTTACTCTACAGTGCTGTACTTTATTAAACACTTCTGTACATTTACATACATTTGATATAACTTTTAACATGTTATATGTACACTCGTATAGACGAACTCCAACTTACTACGAGTTCGCACTGACGCGGGGGTACACGGAACCTCGCCCCCCGCGTAGCCTGAGACCTTGCCGTATACAACACTAAATAAGTAATTTAAAAATACTTTTAAAAAACACGCTTTAATGAAATGTACGATTAATGGAAGAACTCCACGACTCCAGGAAGTGGCCCTGAAGCTTGCCATATAACGTGAGGGACCGTGGCCACTTACAGCCAACGTCAGTTGAGCGTGGACAATTAGACCCAAGGCGAAACATAACATGTAAAAAAGAATGTTTAAAAAATATAATTTTTTTATGATAGAAGTATACCAAGTTTGCAGTGGATACCACATTGGGAAGTGGGTAAAAATTGAGTTACAGGATTTGAGGATACAACAACAACAGACAGAGTGAGTTAAATAAAAGCGTGTAAATAAAAATGTTGATTCTTGCCCATGCCGTTCGACGCGAGTTTCGTGCGCTCAAGAATCCGCATTAAGCAACGGATCGGTCCAACCCAGTTTTGAAGGGATGAAGTTGTATTTATTGTTTGTGAAAATAAGCAACGGTTGCCTATGTGTACAGCGAAACCTCACGGCGTCAGACTCATTGAGAGGAGAGCCCTCTCTGGCTATTGGGGTAACTATAATGATGTCACAGTGATAACAATCTGTTTTGATATAGCCCTCTCCCTCTTCTTCGTAGCACTTGAAGCTTTTTTTTGTGTAAGTATGGATAACGTGTTGCTAGCAAGCACCTGGCATGCCACGTGACGGGGTGGCGTGGCCAGCAACACACTGAATGCATTCCTTTATCAGGCTAAACAAGGATCTTTGTTCGATAATTGTGTAGGTTCCTCGGCCTCCCTGAGGCCAACTTAGCCTTACATGAGTATCTGGTGCGGTGTGTCAACATCAGTGTTGGTGTGGATGAGGCCCTCATAGGTGCTACTTGCACTTGCCCCAAAAGTATGTTAAGCCTATACGGGGGATCTTTGTCTTTGCGTATTCTTACCTCGTGCTCTCGTTTACAAGATTTAACAGGGGTCTTTGTCATTGCACGTTCATATGTGCTTATGCATATAACTTTATATGCGTGCCATACATTCGTACACACACATATATGTGTGTGTGTGCGTGCATGTGTGTATATGTACACAATATTTGGTTGCCAAGCAATTTTACATGGGGGCAAACCAGACCCCCCCAGCCGTAGGGAATGACGTCAAGCGGGGACTTGGCAGTTCCTTGGCCCCCCCTCCCCCCTCGTGCAGCCCCTTGTCTGGGCCACGCTTGTGCCGTGCCGACAGAGTTCCCACCCAGAACGAAAAGGGTTGCACGCCGACGTAAGCGTGAGATAGAGCTGCGT